AAAAAAAAAAATGTTAGAGAAAAAAAAATGAAAAAGCATTTGTTGTTGTATGTGTTATACAATAAGCTTTATTAAAAGAAAAGAAAAAAAAACATATCATAATAGCAAATATGCAAATTAGCTAAAATATTAAAGCAAAAATTAATTTAACAGTATTCTATTCCAATGAATATTTTATATTAAATGACATCTTTTTTTTTGCCGTATTTGCATATTCTGCAGCTTTTTTTTTGCTGCTATTGCTGTTGTTGTTGTTGTTTGTTGTTTGTTGTTTGTTGTTTGTTGTTTGTTGTTTGTTGTTTGTTGTTTGTTGTTTGTGTTTGTTGTTTGTTGTTTGTTGTGTTGTCGTTTGTTGTTTGTTGTTTGTTGTTTGTTGTTTGTTGTTGTTTGTTGTTTGTTGTTGTTGAACAAATAAATAACGTATCACAAAGGACAGATATGACGACACAAAACACAATAACATTATTAACAATAATTTCAATGATACAAATATTGCTAAGCATGATAAAATGATTATTGTAGTAGCCAAGAATATCAATAAGAAATTTAAATTTAAATTTAATTTAAACAAAAAAATAAAGTAATGAAAAATATTTTTGTTAATTTAAAAAAATGAAATTTGACATTAAGATATGCTTGGCTATAACAAAAAGCATAGGCATTTAAAGCTATTAACAAATTATTATGCGCGCTAATTTATCACTCTCTTCTTTTTTTTTTTTTTTAATTTTTTATTTTAATTTATCTCAGTTACCTGTTAATTTACGCTTTTGAGCCCTTTTGTCCTCGTCACGTAACTTTCTTTCTGCTCCCTAAGTTAAAAAAAGGAATTGTTTAAAATTAAATAAAATTAATTTATCACAAATTTGATTGTCTTAAATTTACTCATTAATTATTGCAAACAGCAAAAGAAAGGATAAGAGAAACAAAGATATGATCTTCTAACAAATTAACAATGAATTTTAAAATAAAATTAAATAATTAATGTTGAAAAAAATTTTAAAAAAATAACACAATTTTAAATTTTAACTGACAAGAAAAAAAAATGAAAGATAATTTTGATGAAAAATTCCTTTGGCGAAATTTCATAATTCTTTTTTTTTAAAAAAAAGTTAAAATTATTTTAAAATTATACGAATCATTGGGAAGATTTTTCGAAATTTTATTTAATTTCAATTTTTTGAATATCATTCAATGTACAACGATCAGGATGAATAATTGTTGTTAAAATTTAATTTCTAATTAAGAGCAAACATTTCGAATTATTGAAACATCATATATATGTTAAATATTTTGCTATATGCAAACAATTTGAATTCCTTTAAATAATTAGTAAAAGATATGAAGAGTAATTATTTAATCTTAAAAAACTTTATGAAACAATTTTTTTATTTTAAATTTTATTAAAATTATTGGTAAAAGTGAATTAATAGCTAATTTGCTATTTGCTAAATATTATCAACAAATCAATAAAATTAACACCTTCCTAATCACTACGAAAGATTAATTGTTAAAATTGAAC